TCCTGTTTGCTGCCTTTCTTTACAAGGACTGCTGCTTTCAGCCTTAACTGTTTATTTTAGAAGGTGGGACATAACATATATATATATAAAAAATATGTAAATTGATCGAATTCGGATCTCGGTCCAAGGAGGGTAGTAACCCAGGTGATTATTTATCCAATTAGTCAAATGAACCCCTGAGGCCGATGCACAAGGTTCAGAGATAAGGCCTCCAGCAGCTTTTACTCCCAGACAAAAACCGGGAAGGGGGGGGGGTGCTGCTGTTACTTCGCCCTGAGTGCAGCTGCGGAATAGCCAACAATATTCTTAACAGAAATATCAGGAATGCCGATATAACAATGCTCTGAACGGGCTGGGAGGCCTGTTTTGGCGAGCTAGGAACACTCGCAGCCGAGAAATGAGGCCGGAAAAAACAAAATGGCGCCCGACCACGAGGCGATGCCCAAAATGGCGGCCGCCTACGGATCTCACTGTCGGGGCCGCTCAGGACGGAACTAAGCCCCTCCGGCAAGCTTAGAATGCCGAGAGGGGCAGCGAGGAGAATTTCGCCCCTTCCTGGGACGATTGGCGTTCGTGGTGGGGGGATAACCAGCGGCGCTTGCAGCGCGATTAATTCAAGCCGCAAACGAGGGCGGCGTGGAAGGCGGCAGGAAAATCAAATCGAGGAAAGGGGGGGGTTAGCGCACAAGCGCTGCTAAACCGCCCGCTTTTTTCCCCCTTGGGGGCAAGGAATGCACTCCCCTTAATCTAGAGACACAACCAAATGCGCAGAGGCTAAAGGAAAAATAATATCAAGCAAACCTTAAGAGAAATTGGAAGAAGTCCTGAATTGGCCAAGGAGTGTTATCAGAAACAGCCTAACTCTCACGAGGCTGAGCATAAACTGGGGAACGCTGTAAGGGAGCCACGTGATGGAAGGTGGAGCGTTCCTCAGTAATTAAGCTCAGCCTACAACAGCACAGACTGAAGCACCTCCCACTCTCTGGATGATCCCAGCAGCTCTAAGGAGAACATTGTTCTAGATCCTGGGTCACTGTTTTAAAGAAACATGCTTTAACATTAGAACTGCCCCTAATTGCCAAAGCTAAGTAATCTGTTTTCCTAGTTATTGGGTAGCTTGAAAAAACTGTCTGCCTCAAATTATTCTGAAAGGTTTGGAAGCCTCAGTTTTACTTACATTTGTTGCGGTAGAAGTTGCCAGATATGTTAATCCCTTCACATCGCACAACCACAACTTTGCGCCCTAAAGGAAAATGGTAGTAAGGTCAGAGTATGTCCAGGGGTGGGTTTCTACCAGTTCTGTCCACCTCTGTAGAACCGGTAGCTCTGAAGAGCAGCAGACATAGAACCAGTTCTATGTCTGTTGATGTTTTTGCCCACCCACCCGCCTGGGCTCTTACCTGACCTTTATTTCCTGATTTTTCAGGCATGATATTCCCCTCTGAAAAAAAAATCGGGGCCGGCCAAAAGAGACCCCCCACCGCCCGCCCAGGCTCTGCTTGCACCACCCGCCCGCCCGGGCGATTCCCAAAAAAATCGGAATTCCGATTTTAATCGGAATAATATCATGTCTGATTTTTTCAACTTCAGCTGCTGTGCAAGGCACAGCTGCAGTTAAAAAAGCAGGAAAAAAGGGCTTTTTGAAAGGCTGCTTCTCTGCACGCAGCATGCTGATGACGATTTACAGGCACCAATCACCAACGCCGGCAGCATGCAGGGAAGCACATCATAAATCACTGAATATCGTAAATGACCGAACTGGTAGTTAACCCTGTCGGATCCCACCACTGAGTATGTCCTCTGAAATAGAATACAGATTGGACAATAAAGTTTCAAAGAGTGATGTCTAGTAATTACACCACCTGTTACTTTTTTTTTTCTTCAATCCACAGATGAATTAGTTCATGTAAGAATGGTTGGGTAATTCTAGCTAAGCTTGAGTAAATTTTAACACTGAATTAGGTTGAACAGGCTAGTACTTTGCATAACAGCTACCTCCATAAAATCCCAGGTCTGAAGGGCAAATTGGAAAACTGAAAGACCACCCTGGAAGAAAATAGGAACAAATTTCTTCCATATAGCTGTCAAGAAAATTTATGGACAACTCCACAGTTTCCAGGAACTGACCTTAACTTTAAGGATACTTTTAAGTTCCAGTAAAACTACCCGGTAGTACAGAAAACTGCATACATTATGACTAGCCAGGGACTTATCAAACTAAAGATCTAAATTAATACAAAAATTGTAATATGCTTCAAAATTCAACCTATATTAAGACCAAAGACTTTAAGGAAGTAGAATTCTACACACCCAAAGTGGGCAAAAGAGTATGACCTTTTCCACATGGAGACTTCTATCAAAATACCAATATTAAGTTTTTTAAAATTTACTTTTAGTTATGCTCAGAAAAATACAAATAATCTCAGAATTTGCTTCAATATTTGCAAGATTCAAATATCAAAAAGCATCTCCACATATTGTTAAAGTCCTTGCCTTGCCTCATCCTCACCTAGATAAAATACACCCTCTGTACATTGGGATGAGTGACAAAATTCTCCCATGCACAGATCAAACCTTACCCAGCAACACTTGCTTAGCCACAATGGCTGCAAGGCGACCCAGCAAATGGCCACGTCCATCAATCACCAATACCTGGAAAAGAGCAGCTTTTAAATGGGGCTTATTGACATATATAAAGGAATATTTATGGGATGAAACAAAATAAATGTTCTTCTCAAACCATAGTGATTTAAATAATCTAGCAATTATGAAAATGAGGGGATAAAAATAATTGCACAGCTCTAGACCATGATGGGGATGAAAAAACAGTTTCCCTAATCCAAAAAGCATCACAGCTTCTACTTAGTAAGGCTAATACCATCCAGCACGCATTATCCCCCTGCTTCACAGCACAGGAATTTGGCTCAACTTTTCCAAAGGTATACAGTATATTTTCACAGCCTTAACACTTATTTCCTACAAAACTAAGCCTGTTATTTTGCAGTTTTCTCTCATCTATACAATCATCCACTTACTAGAAAATAAAGCTACAGCTATGCATAAAAAACCAGTTTACTGGTATTCAGAATGTGGAATATACTCAGTAGGCATACAATTGTAAGCCTCAATTGAAAACGAAAAACCAGGGAGGGGAGGAATAATAGTGTTAGAAGTCCCAAATGTGCTTTTTCAGGAGGCAACTGGACTTTTTTGTCTTTGAAGACATGGATGAGAAGCTAAACGTATTCAACGAAAAAACAAAGCCCAGTTGCCTCCTGAAAAAGCACCTTTGGGACAACCATGACCTGGATGACTGACAATCTCTAGACTAATAGTGTTGAAAGTTAAAAAGCCTCTGATCTGATCTCCCCCCACCCCCCTTTTAGCAGCCGATCAGCATACAAATGAGAAGTCTTTTGTTCTTGAGAAAAAATATCCTTTTCACAGCACGTCTGGATTTCATTGATTTGTTCTTGCTTCTAAACCCAGCGCGTGGAAACCACAACTCCTGACACAAGAAAGCAGCTTTCCCGCTAATACCTTTCTCGATGCATTCAATTAAAAACATATCCCCCCCCCCCCCAAGGCTTTGACTATGCTGCTGGATAGCAATGGCCCTTGTAAGGCACCAACTTGGTCTAAGGCTGGTGTGGAGCATCTTGGCCGTAAGGCTGATGCCCCGAAGTGCACCACTAACCCAAGTCTCTCGTCTTCAGAATGAAGCTACACGTGTCAACACAAATCAAGCAGCTAACATTTAGCCTTCTTTAAATACCAAATCAGACTAAAGTTGGGGAGAGGGGTTGTTTACAGTTTGCCATGAAGGAAAGCCACGCAGTAAATGCTCCGGGGCGGGAATTAATTCATCCACAGCCACGCTAACTCCGATCCGTTCCCTCTCCCCACTCTAGGCCCAGATCATCTCCACGTGCTCCTTCTCTCTTCTATCCCGACAACCGGCAGGCTCCAGGAAACCCGACAGGAAATGAAAAGGGACGCCGTTCAAGCTCTGCCGCCCGCCCATCTGCCCCGCTCCCCCGCGAATAAAACAAAAAAAGGCGCTCAAGACTCTCACACCTTCGGCTCCGTCATGGCGCCTCCTCAACGGCCACAGGGAAAAAATCTCCGCCCCCTCAAATTCACGGGGTTACCTTTTCCGGCCGGTTTAGGAAATGTTAAGAACCACAGGGGCGGATATGACGTTAACGCCTAAATCAAAGATAACAAAGGTAGGAAGTCGTTACTACCGGTAAAGATAGTAGCCGTCTTCCGTCAAGGGTTTGGAAATGGTTCCTTTTCTTTTCTTTTTCTCACTTTTCTTCTCTACGGTGAACATCTTGTTTGTTAAAAGTTTCCTTGGAAGATTAAGTTCATAAGTTGACCGGAAATAGTACAGTAAGGGGTGGGATTCAAATTTCTTAAAAACCGGTTCTGTGGGCGTGGCTTAATTTATGGGTGTGGCTTGGTGGTCATGTGACCGGCTGGGTGTGGCTTGCTGGCTGGGCATGGCTTGGTGGTCATGTGACTGGGTGGACACAGCCAACTCAATGTCACTCACGTCAAGGGGTGCCTCACCTGGCCCCTCCCCTCCCAGCCATTTCTTGTCACACCAGCCTCAACTTATCTATAGTTCTGTAAAAATGTTCACCCTTTTTTGACTTTATGATCTACATACTACAGATGTACTTTCATGGACCACTGAAAGGAGGAAATGGCTCACATGCTTTGCCCAAGGGGCAATGTATTTTCCAAAGCAGGGATCCCCAACCTTTTGGACCTCAGGGACCACCAAACTCATACTTTTAAATCCAGAGGCCCACTAATATGAATTTTTAAAAAAGATTATTTAATATAAAAATTATTTTATATTAAACATAAATTTAATGTTAAAAATTAAGCATTTATGATTTTGTTATAATTAAATAAGCAACATATACAGGTGAAACTCAAAAAATTAGAATATCGTCCAAAAGTTCATTTATTTCAGTAATGCAACTTAAAAGGTGAACCTAATATAGGAGATAGACTCGTTACATGCAAAGCAGATACAGATACAGATAATCAGAGTTGGAAGGGACCTTGTAGGTCATCTAGTCCAACCCCCGCCCAAGCGGGAGACCCTACACCATTTCTGACAAATTTCTTCTTGAAAGTCTCAAGTGATGGCGCTCCCACAACTTCCAAGGGCAAGCTGTTCCATTGGTTGATTGTTCTCACTGTCAGAAAGTTTCTCCTTGTTTCCAGGTTAAATCTCTCCTTGTTCAGTTTCCATCCATTATTCCTTGTCTGGCCTACAGGCGCTTTAGAAAATAGCTTGACCCCTTCCTCTCTGTGGCAGCCCCTCAGATATCAGAACACTGCTATCATGTCTCCCCTGGTCCTCCTCTTCACTAGACTAGCCATGCCCAGTTCCTGTAAACTTCCTTCATATGTTTTAGCCTCCAGTCCCCTAATCATCCTGGTTGCTCTTCTCTGTACTTTTTCTAGAGTCTAATTTCTTTAATTTTTTCAAGAGTTTATCATTTTTGTAAGTGGTTTCAGATTCAGCTCTCCAAGTTGTAAGTTGTTTTATCTTGTCCCAAAGTAGATACATCGGTGACACATTTGTGATTTGGCCCCATGGAAAAGAAAACCTAAACAATTTCCTAACACACCTTAACAGCACACCCCCCAAAATCAAGTTCACCATGGAAACGGAAACAAACAACTACCATTCCTAGATGTACTAATCTACAAAAAAACAGATGGCACACTAGGACACACCGTATACCAGAAGAAAACACACACTAACCGCTACCTCAACGCCCAATCCCACCACCACCCAGCACAGATAATCTCCGTGGCTAAAACACTAATTACTAGAACCAAACGCCTGGCAGACAAGACACACATTAAGACTGAACTATGCACCCTGACTAAAGTACTGATAGCCAACGGCTTCCACAAAAGCAAAATCACCAGCTTGATCCACAAAAACACACTGAGACATAATAGAGACCCAGAAGATGAACAGACCTATGGAACAGCTGTCCTGCCCTACATAAGAGGTACTACAGACAAAATTAGTAAGATACTACACAGACATCACATCAAGACTGCCTTCAAAACAGACAGAAAAATAGCAGCCATCCTTAGAAACCCCAAAGATAAAATTGACCTGGAAAACCAAGGCATATACGAAGTCCCCTGTGCATCATGCCCGGCCACATACATTGGACAGACCAATAGAAGAATAAGTACCCGCCTGGATGAACACAAAAATGCAGTAAAAAAGCTGGAACACACTTCCTCACTAGTCCAACACATGTAAGCCACAGGTCATAGCATCAACTTCAATGGCACCAAAACCCTAGCCACTATAGAAAACCCCAACCACAGAATCATCAGAGAAGCCATAGAGATTGAAAAAAGACCTGAAAGCATGAATAGAAGAGATGATTCCACCAGACTGTCAATCATTTGGAAGCCTGCACTCACAAACAAAAAAAAA